AGGATGTGTTTTATTGTGCTCAGCTACCCAGGTACTCTTGAGGCTGCTGTAGCCATGAGAGTCTGGCTTCTGCTAATGGCAGAAAATCTTGGCACTACTAAGTGACACTGAATTAGCAGGCAAACAAAATACACTTAAGAGCCATAGAGGCTTCCACCCAGATTTCAAAGAAAAGCCTGAGATCAGTAAATGTGTGATAAGATTAGGGTCCCTGCACTATGACAGTCCTGAGTGGAGTCAACACAAGAGAGGTCACATGGGTTGCGTGCAAACAGCAAAGCCAAAGGACAGGGCTGTCCAAGCCCAATGGAGCTCACAACACACTTCAGATGACAGGCATGCAGCAACAAGATTCAAAGTTTGCCCTGTTGGGTTATGATCTTGCTTTGGTCCAATCCTCACTGGCTATTATGTTATGCTTTTTAGAATGGAAATGTTTGCTGTGTCCTTATGTATATAATTTTTTTTAAACTGGGACTCATAGCTGAGAGATTGCCTCAAGTCTCAGAAAAAGACTTTGGACTTGGGACTTTGAGCAATGTTGAAATATAATATACTGGGATTTCTGAATATAGTAAATGCATTTTGCATTATGAGGGAGCCATTAATTAACCTTTGGGGTCTAGGATAGAATGTGATGGATCTGCAGTGTGCCCCTCAGTCTCATTTGAACAGCTGAGGGTACTATTTTTGAAGGTGCTGAAAACATCAGAAGGTGAGACTTAGCAGATAGCACTGGTCACTGGAGGCAGGTCCTTGGGGTGTCTGTCTGTCTCTCACTGTTTCCTGGCTTCCACTAGGTTGAGATCTTCCAGCCACCATATCCTTCATGGAAAGACTGAAAGCTCAGAAATGATGATCCAAAATAGAGCTTCCCTCCCAGAGATTTTTATACCAGGTGTTCTGAGCTGCCTAACCTATGAGGTAACAAGAAAACCTACAGTTTCAGATGTAATTAAGAGAATAAGCACAGGTGGCAATGCTTTTAGAGTGCATTCTTAACCCTTTCAACATTGCCTCTTAGCCAAGCGAAGAGAATGTGCATTCTTCCCTAAGGACCTGGTAATAGCTTGGGGGGGTTGGGGGGGGGGAATCAACTAAGATCGACATGCCTTGGAGAGGCAGAGGCAAGCAGATGTCTGAGTTTGAGACCAGCCTGGTCTACAACAGGGAGTTCCAGGGCAGCTAGGATTGTTACACAGAAAAACCTGTCTCAAAAAACCAAACCAAAACAAAAAATGCACAGTGGAGCAGGGGATGTAACTTAGTTGGCAAAATATTTGTCTAGAGTGCAGTGCATGATGCTCTCAGTTTGAGGTTTGATCCTAAGCAAAAAAAAAAAAAAAAAAAAAAAAAAAAAAGGAAAAGGGGAACAGGGACAACAGAAGTGTAAATGCAGAGCTGGTAAAAATCTGGAACTAAAGAGATGGCTCAGCAGTAAAGAATATTTACTGCCCTCTGACAGGACTGGAGTTTAGTTTCCAGCTCCCAAGTCAGGAAGAGCACAACTGCCTGAAACTATGGACCACAGAAATTCAACACCCTCATGTGGCCTCCAAAAGAAGCATACACACACACATGCACACACGCACGCACAAATAAATCTTTCTTTTAAAAAGCTGGTCATCAAAAAAGAAGCCCCTAGGGCTAGCAGGATGGCTCAGTGGAGAAAGGCATTTGTCAAGCAAGCCCAAAAACCTGAGTTGAATCCCAAGAGCCCAGCTCACTACAAAGCAAAAGACGTGGGACAAGACTTGTTTCACAGAGAGACTGAAGGTCAAGAGATTCCATGGTGACTCTGGAAGCAAGAGAGGGGCTAGGATGTAACTCGAGTCTTTCCAATTCAGTACTAACGAGTTAATGAGTAAGTCTTCTAGAAGGCAATAATATTTTATATCAAATTTCCTTTTAAAAAATTTTAAGAAAAAGCATGCCATCGACCAACAGAGGAGTGAGTTACCCTTTATACAAGGGAGTGTTTTCAGCTTGGACTCTGGTTCCCCTACCCATGACATGGGGCAGATTATAGTCGATTTGCAGACTCTGACAGTTCAGAAACAGATGGCAGAGTGACAGCTTCACTCAGGACATAATTATGTGAGAAGCCAAAAACAACTGCACAGAAATCCTTTTAGTAACTACCTTCAACATAGTAAAACTGCATTTCTAACACTTTAATTGGTTTTAATGTTTTATTAAAATTACTTATATTAATATGCTCAAAATTGGCAGACTTTTATTTAGCAAGCATTGGCACATTACTCTATGTTTAAAGCCCCCAGCAAGGTGTTAGGAATAAAACAATAGCAGGAGCACCATAGCCATAGTTTAATGTCTTCTGGGAAGCATATGCACACACACAGACAATAATGGGGGAAAAAACTAGAAGACAAGGCCTACAGCAAGGAGGAAATAATTCCGAAGGACTTCCAAAGGCTCCAGAGAGTATACGATATCTTATAAGAACTTTTAAAAACTAGAGAAAATGTAAGTTATTTACATTTTTATATTACATAGGGGGCACTCATATCAGCAAAGTCTGAAACTGTTTGGCATGTCCAGAGCAGTAGTCTTAGCAAGATATTGTGGAAGGGGGGTGGCCAGTACAGGATGAGGAGGGCCGAACTGCAAGGGACCTCCAACACTGTGTCGATATGTATAACTGCATCTGAGCCCCAAATCACAGGTACTCAGAAGCTTGCAGGACCAGAGGCTGGAGTGTGTTTAGGAAAGAGAGTCCTGGAAGCCAGGCAAAGTAGCGAGGAAGCAATAGTGTCCTGAAGACAAGTGACAGCTTTGAGCCAGCAGGGGAATCTGAGGACTTAGAAATATCAGCACTAACCCAGACATTTTAAGAGCTTGAGTGTGGATGTGATTACTTCACGTCATTCCTCTCTGCTTATCCATCCTGCAAGACAGGTATCATCATTCTTCCCATTTCACAGATGACAAAACTGGCTCAGAGGCCATTAACTGCTCCAAGTCAAATGATACAAAAACAGGGGCAAAGCTCAGGCTCAGTACAATTCCACACGAATAAGGAATAACAAGTTAACTGCTTTTAAAGATAAAGTCAGGCACAGAGAGAAGATAGATGACCACTGGGGACAAGCTAAAACACCGTTTAAGTTTCCTAAATGTTCATAATTTGCATATCAAATAAACCAATCGTCCTTTAAACAGATTTGCCTTATGTTGCCATGTTAAAAATCTGTACCCTATGTTCCAAGAATAACACATCTCCTGACACTCGATAAGAGCAAAACTCTCCTGATATTTCACTGGCTAAAGTGGCACTTTCTTAAGTGAAAACAGACTCATGAAAACCTGCTACACTCAAATTGAAGCCCTATTTTATTTTAGGTCCTGCGAATTTAATCCTGAGTTTCACCTGGCCTACACCCCCAGCCCTAACTACTATTCAAATGATTAAAACTTTGTGACTGGCTCAGCCAAGAAAGTGCCTGCCACACAAGCTCAAGGCCCAAGTTCGGGTCCCTAGGTGCTACATACATGTCTTATAATTCCAGCCCTGGGGAGGCCCAGATGGGAGGATCCTTGAAGTTTACTAGCCAGCCAATCAAGCCCAACTGGTGAGCTCAAGGTTCAGTGAGAGACCCTGTCTGTGGAGCTGAAGGTTGGGGACACATGACTTTAATCCTAGTATATCTGAGACAGAGACAGATCTCAAGAATTCTTGGCCAGCCTGGTATACCTGGTGACACCCTATCTCAAAATATAAGATGTAGAACAAGTGAAGACATCTGAAATTGATCACTGGCCTCCACATATACACACATGCACATATAGATATACATGCACCCAAACACATGACCATATACACGCACATGAATACATACATGACTACAATTATTTGGATAAGAAGATAATGGGAGAATATGATAAAAGTGTGTGTATATATATATGTATATGTCTATATATGCATGAACTTGTGAAAGAATAAATTTTTAAAGTACATATTTTGGCAAGAAATGCAATCGAATCCAAGATAATAAGTATTAATTGCAAAGAGCCTCCGTGGGTATTTCAAAGGCACAGTTCCAGAATGGTTTTTGTCATAAAGATCCTGAGACCTAGTTAGAATGGTTCAGCCCAAAATATCTGCAGGCGAATATTTGACCTTCAGAATGCAGAGTGACAGATATTTTTTTTTTCTCCTCCCTTTAAATCTTAAATCCCTAAAAACCGACAGTGTCGGGCCGAACGAGTCCTATACTGATAGCAGAAGCCCTATGTGGGGTTTTAATTGCATAGTCGTTTTCCATAGCATCACCTGTTATTCAAACTGCTCGTCCCCAGCTCCTCGGCAATCCTCACCCACCGTTTCTTTAGCAAGCCAAGACTCAGAAATGCAAAACGCATTGTCAGTTACTTGGGCAACAAGGCAAAGTCTGCGATGCAGGTGATGAGAACCAAGAACTCCATTTAGTAAATGACTCCGGAGTCGCCATGTCCCCCTCTCCCCAGCTTATCTCCACCCCACTTTTCCTTGGTTGAATCTTTAAGGTTTGTCTACAGAAGGGCAAACACTGAAGGGAGGAGGGGCTGCCAGGTCCGGGGGTCGGCTCCCCAGAGCTCATCCCGCCCTGGCCTCTGCGCAGCGCTGAGGCTCAGCCTGATTCTGGGCCGGCGGGAGCTCCGGGGACGCCGGCCGGAAGCCGGGCCGCGAGGGTCCGGGCGGCGGCGCGCTCAGGCCGGCGACTTCGGGGGACTGTCATTTCTGCCCTCGGCCGTCACCTTCGCCGACCCCGCGCCATAGGCCCGCGCGCCCGCCACTCACCGCACCGCGCCCGCCCCTGGCCGCCGAAGGACAAAGCTGAGGGCGCGGGGCGAGGCTCGGCCGCTGTCCCTCAGGCCGGGCCGCCTCAGCCCGTCGCGGCCCATTGTGCGCACTCATCGCACGCCGCCCGCGGGGTCCTCGGGCCCGGCGTCTCTCCAGCTAGTCACCCGCCACGGCCCCGCTCCCGGCCCCCGCCTACCTGCCAAGGCTGCCGGGCGGGAGCCTCTCCTTGCGCTCCGAGGGCTGCAGGCGGCTGCCGAGCGCCGGGCGGCCCTGGCCTGCGCCTTACGTAAAGCGGCAGCAGCGGCGGCGGCGGCGGCGGCGGCGGCCCCAGCGCCAGGCGGCGGAGGGCGGGAGGCGGCGCGCGGCAGCGGCTCCGCTGCGTTACCTGGCAACGGCCTCAGCGCCCAGCCAGCCAGTGCGGCGTTCCATATCCTTCCGCCCAGGCGCCGGGATTACATCAGCGCGCCGGGGCACCGCCCTCATGCCGTGGGTGGAGGAACAGGAGGCGCAGAGGGCACCAGGCTGACCTAGGGATCTGAGGCTTTGAAAAGGTTTAACAGGTCCTGAGAGCCGACGCCTGGGTCGATGACTCCCTCCGGGACGCTCAGACCAGGCTTAGCAGAGATACCCCAAATGCACGCACCCCATCCCCCGCTTTCCCTCTTGCGCTCCACCAGTCCGCGCCCCCTGCTCACCGCGTCCTGGGATGGCTGGAGTGGGCGGCTTAACATAAAGACTTCAATTTAAAAAAAAAAAAAAAAAGGAAAAAGGTGACATGGCTTTTTTTTATGTTATTATTAAGTGGGTAAAAAATAAAAGACCTTCTGGAAGATTCGGAAGTGGGAGCCAAAAATGCGCACTAACCTTTTAGTCAAAGTCTCTTCCCTCCTACTCACCTTCCCTAAATGTGACTCCTAGGCTCTCCTAGAAAAGCAGATATAGATGTCAGAGGTACCAGGAAGGAAAGCCTGGGATGTGCAACTGTACAAACGCAAGTACAGGTCCAGAAGGGCAGTGACCTGTGTAGTCATTTGTTCATTGAACTCACTAAAGCACCCCTAGGCACCAGGCCCTGCTCTTGGGTTCAGAGCCTGAGTCCTGAAGTTCTCATACTCAGCTCACAGCTTGTGGGAGGAGCAGAGAATTGGAAGTACTTTTCCGCTAAGGTAGGCTGAACTGGTATGTAAGCCGGGGACAGGAACCTGAAACTGTCCTTCTATAGAATCCACGATGTTTCTGCAAACACCTTTTCACTGTCCGCAAGAACCTCAGGGGAAAGCCCTGACTGGCCTATTTCACTGGAAAGTGAGGCTCAAAACAGGCTGGCCTGAGTGGATGGTGTCTCTGGATGGAGGCAGGTTTTGAGCTCAGATCCTTAGCTCTGATAATGGGGGAGGGGTCTTTCCCTTTGCCCAGCTTTCTGCCCCTTCATTAGCTTGCTCCTGTTTTTTTGTTTTGTTTTTTGCCTCGGGTGCATCTCAGGTGAACCACAAACCATAGTCTATTTAGTACACATCTTTTGGCTAGGCCTGACTCGGTGGCTGGGCAGCCAGCTGAACTCACATAACATGGGGAGAGAGCTGAAAGTCCAGGGCCATCTGGGAGCAAAGTTGGGGATAAATGGCGTTAGGGTTCTAAAGACCCAGGATTGCAAAGACCAGTGAAACATTTCCCAAAATATGGAGAACTTGTACACATTTTTGGTACATTCATAACATTACTGTCACCTAGCCTTCTGATCCTTATGTAAAGGCATATTGGTAGTATAGAAGTTTCAAAATCGTGACAATGTATCTCAAATATCTGAAAGAGAAGAAAACACAGCCACTTTGTAGCTATATCATTTATTGACTATTTTCTGTGTGTATGTGTTCCTGGGGTGTTTGTGGGCAAGCGCAAGTGGAGGCCAGAGAGTTATTTTTAATCATGCTCCACTTTATATTTTTAGATTTTTTTTTTATTGGTGTGTATACACATGCTCAGCCTGACTGTAGGGTCAGAGGACAACCCACAGGAGCCAGTTTCTCTCCTTCTGCTGTGTTAATTCCAGGGATCAAACTTAAGTCCTCAGGCTTGCCAGCTCTTTTACCCACTGAGACATCTCTTAAGGGTCCTCTGTCTATTTTTTATTTTTTTTTTTTCTTTTTACTTTGAGACATGAACCTGGAGCTCATTGGTTCAGCTAGACTGGTTGTCCAGCCAGCTCCAGGGGTCCTCCTGTTCTCATTTCCCAGTGCCATGATTAAAGGTGTGCACTCATTAGGCCAGGTGTGGGGGCACCTGTCTTCAACCCCAGCACTCAGAAGGCAGAAGCAGGCAGATATCTGAGTTAAGGCCAGTGTGTTCTACACAGTGGGTTCCAGTTCCCAAACTTAACTTCTCACACTTATCGTGTAGACGCTTTTACTAACCATGCTGTCTCCTTAAACCCCCCCCCAACTTTATTTTTGTTACTGAGTCACAGACCAGTTCTTCATAACCCATGGATTGCTAGAACTTCCTAAAGTTTTAGGAAGAATTTCCTAAAAGAAAAAATTCATAGTGAGTAGGAATTCACTTGGATGAGGAGGGTTTGGATGCAGCGAGGAAGTTCACAAACGACTGAAAGTGGTTTCCTTATGGAAACAACCCTGGTGGTTCAGATTACATTGATTGAAAGCCCCAGAAGGCATGTGGACTCTAGCCTCAGGATCTTTGCACTTGCTGCTGCTTTGCATAGGCCTTCCAGATCTTTGCCTAGCTGGCTCCTTCTTGTGCCAGGGCCAGGAGTGTCAACTATCCAGATATGCTTTCCCTGATGTCCGGTTTATAGCAATCTCCCTTCCCAATCTTGTGTTGTTTCTTGGCTCCCCATTCTTATCAATATTTGAGAGTATCTTATCTGTGCACTTGTTTTCCCATCAAGACCCTTCTTCCAGGAGAGCAGTGTCCTTGTCTATGGGGTTCATTTCTGCAACCTGGCCTTCTGTGTCCTTCCTTTGCCACTCTGCACACCATTTTCCTTCAAGTTTCTGGGTACAGATCAGCAGAGGTAAACTCAGGTTAACTGCAGCTCTGGTGCCATGGCTGTGGTCCCCAGGGAACACGAAGGAGGCCAGAGGCCTCTGGCTGAAACAAAGTGGCAGAGGATCTTCATTCGCTATGTTTTGCAAACAAACAAAAAACTATCATAGGAGAGAGAGAGAGGGAGAGAGAGAGAGAGCACCTATCACTGTACCTGACCCCTGCACACATCAGTGATGGGTGAAGATGACAGTGACAGCCCCCACCATTTGACTCAGATGTTCTCCTAGAGGACACCTGCTGAGGCAGTTTGTTATGTATATGCTTGGAGAGCAGGCTGGAATTGAAGGGTGATTTGTGACCTTCAATAGCACTCTGATGAGTTGAAGGCAGGGCCAAGCCTCCTAAGATCTAGGATCTTCTATACCTAATCTCACTGACTGAGCCTCACTTCCCCATTTATCCAACAAGGCACTTAGGGAGGAAGATTTCCAGAGTCCACCCTGACCCCCCCCCCTTTCTTTTTCTTCTTTGAAAAACTTTCTAAATGAATTTTTAAGTGAAGCAACACTGACTAAGGGAACTGTATTCAACACTCGCCCATAACCAACACTGACAACACCCACATTATTACACACACCATCCTGTACTAGAATCCAAAAGGATTCTCCACCCTTTGCAGCTGCAGGCTGAGGCTCCAAAGAGCTTTGTTGCTTTTCTTGGGTCTCACATTGAGTAAGAAGCCATTGGGTAACATCGCATCCCTGTCCCTGTTATACAGCTCATGCCATTTCATGAAAACCTATCCCAAGTGATGATGCCCACATGTGTTTCCATGGTCTGCCACAGACAGAGCACCCTCGTGTATGGTACCCCTAACCATTCAACTCAGCTCACGCACCATAAGTCCAGTGGTCCTCAGACCTCCTCCCTTTTCTCTCCCTATTTATTTGTTAAAGGTACTGGGCATTGACCCTAATCCAGCATGTATGCTAGGCAAGTGCTCCACCACTAACATATATCTTGAATTTTCTTCCTTTTATTTTCAGACAGAGTCATACAAACTTGCCCTGACTGGCCTTGTACTCAGTCTGCAGCCTAGGCAGACCTTGAACTTGGAATTCTCCTGCATTGCATTAGCCTCCTAGGTATTTGGAATTACATGACTGTATCACTATATCTGGTTGGAGACGTCTCTTTCAACCTCTCAAGCCCTTCCTAGCATCTCCCTTCACTGCCCCCTCACTCCTCCAAATGGTGCAAACCCCATTCCAGGGCTTCAGTCAAAGCCTCGCCTCCGATGTGGCCTCTTGATTATAACTGCTTAGTTTTCTGGGCCTTTGATTCCCTAGTCTGTTGTGATGGTTTGAATAGGTATGGTGCCCATAGACTCATGTGTTTGAATGCTTGGCCCATAGGGAGTGACAGTATTGGTATGTTGGAATACTTGTGTCATTATGAAGGTAGGCTTTGAGGTCTCATATATGCTCAAGCTACACCCAGTGTGGTACACAGTTTTTCTTTGTGCTGCCTGTGGATAAAGATATAGGACTCTCAGCGTCATGTCTGCCTACACACCACCATGTCCTGCCATAAAGAAAATGGACTAAGCCTCTGAAACTGTAAGCCAGCCCCAATTAAATGTCTTCCTTTATAAGAGTCATGGTGTCCCTTCACGGTGGTAGGAACTCTTAGTAAGACATACATGAAAGAACAGAGGAGTCATAGTTTTGTCCTGCACCTATACTGGAGCCAAACCAAGCCAAAGGCGTGCTATGCTCTGAAGACACTAAGTTGTCAGTGTCAAGTCCCCTCATTGTCCTCCCAAACTTCTTCCAAGGACTATGTGGTTCCTACCCCTCCAACCCATTCCACAGAGCTAAACAGTGAAGTCAACAGCTGTCCATCACAGAGCTAGGCTAGTGTGGAGGGGAAGCACAGAACTGGGTTACTAGGTAGAAGACAGGCCCCACTGTCTCAGCTCACTGACACAGAGGCACTCCTACCATTCTCCTCTTTAAGATGCTCACGATGATGGTATCAGGCACCCAGGTTTGCTGTTGAAGAAAATGATCCTCATTCAGGGTCCAAAACAATACCCTGTTCACAGTGAGCCAAACACGAGCCTCAGCCCCCAGGCTCCCAGAGCTCTGATCCTACCTTGCCTTTGATGCTTCCTCTTCCCCCGTCCCTTCCTACTCCAGTGGTTCCTCCGTCCCTCGTGATCCCAGTGCTGATGAAAGTACCTTGAGAACCTGCAGCCTGCCACGGCAGCCAGGCCTCTGCAGAGGAGACTCCTTCTGCAGGACCACTGAGTGACCATCTCCTCTCTGCAGTCCCCAAGCTCAGCAAGGCAGAGAGAAGACTATGTAGAGAAGCAGGTCCCAGCACCAGAGCTAGGCTGGACCTGAACCCCTCTCATTGACCTCCAAGCCTGGAACTAGACAAGTTAGTGGCTCCTTCTTTCCAGGGTCCTGGGTGGGGTGGTGCTGTAAAAGTCACCATTGCAGCCTGTTTCTTTCTTCCAATCACAAGGTGCCAATATGTGACTCCCTTACCTCAATACTCCTATCAGTCCTGCTATAGACAGAGCCCAGTGGCCCAGAAGCAAACCCTTTGCAGACTGTCCTCATCCTCACTAATGGCTGTAAAGACAAACTTTCCAAATGGGGGTTCACTCAGAGGTCCTAGGGGTGAGGCTTCTATGCATCTGTCTGAAGAGACAGTT